TTCCATCCTGTTTCATTGAACGGAATGGCATGGAAAATAAGGCCACCACGACTGTCACCAGGAATTTGCATGCAAATCCAACAGTTCGTGACGTTAAGTGTAAGAGCAGTGCGCCTGGCATCCCGTACAAAAGCATTAAAAGCCCACAGTCCCTGATCCTCATATGCCTGGCTGAGGTGGTATTCTTTGAGCCATATAAGGACGAACACAACGAGCTGGAGTCCAAATGATCTCGCCATGATCGTCTATTGCAGCGTAGCCTCGACCCCAGGTAATGAGGGAGGCAGGCCCTTTCCAGGTGGGATCAGGCAAACGTCGATAGTATACCTGGGGGCGTGAAGAATCTGTGGGAGAAGCAGAAAAATGCCTGCTTGCGGCAGTTGAGCCAGGGGTGCCAGAAACATTCAAAAAGTTTAAGGTAAAAAGTACAAGATTAATGGGTGAAGGAGGCATTATTAGTCTTCCAGAGTTAACTTCGCATTAAATTGAAAGAGTAAGTCTCTGCCCCATAAATTTGTGTGAAGAGGGAGGACGACAGGTTTAAATTTAGCAGAAATGCCTTTTGTGATTCGTTGTGCAGTAAGCCAATTTTTACTGGAGCTTGCTTGTTGAAGTCCTCCCACTCCCCTGACTGCTGGTGAGGATTCGAGGAGCCAGTTAGAGGGCCATTCAGCTGTTCTTATGACTGAGACATCCGCACCAGAGTCTACAAGACCAGAGAAGAGAATGCCATTGATTAAAAAAGGCATCACCAGTTTTTGGGGAGTAATTTGCTTTGTTAGTGCCAATAAATCAGAGGAAGAATTCCCAGAGTGAGGTGCATATGCAGCCTCTGAAATGGATGGTGCTGCACGTGGTAATTAGCTGCAGACCCTTTGTTAGTTTCCCTGATTGGACTGAGAGGAACAGCACTGATTGGCCCAATGAAAACCCTTTTTACATTTTGGGCACGCAGTTTTGGGCTTGGCTCCGGGGATGGCAGCGGGTCGAGCCGCGCCGCCTCCTGGGGCTCTGCATTGTTTTTTAAAATGACCAGGTTTTTTACAATTGAAGCAAGAGCCTTGGGGTTGATTCCCCTTTTGGATTGCAGCTGCAAGAGTGTCCATTAGAAAAGCATTGGTTCCCACAATGCGGCAGGCTTTAAGAAAGTCTGCTAGGGTGGCCGTGGGACTGGGAACAAGTGGTTTAAGAATGGACTGGCAGTCTGCATTTGCATGTTCATAAGCCAATTTTATGAGGATTTCATTTGCTGCATCTCTGTTTGAAATTTGACGCTCAATGGCAACTTGCAGGCGATTCACAAAGTCTGCATAAGATTCAGTTGCAGTTTGGCGAATGGCAGAAAAAGATTGAATCGGGGTGCCAGACTCATCAACACGAGCCATGGCAGAAAGAACACAAGTATTAATAATTGGAAATGCAAAGGGAGTAAAAGTTTGAGCCTGAGCATTAAGGGTAGCAAAATTGCCTTCTCCGAAGAGTTGTTCTGCTGTCCATTGTGAACCTGGGTGATTAGCTCTGTTTTGTGCCTCTCTTTTATATTCAGATTCAAAAACTACGTATTGCGTTCCGTTAAGAAGCATGCGGAACAGATCTTTCCAATCTTGAGGCAACATTCGATATGCACTAGCAATTGAATGTATCAGTCCTCTAGTATAGGGACTGGTTATGCCATAATCTTTTGTAGCCTTTTTCAATTCTCGGATCATAGCCAAGGGAAGTGCTTCCCAATCAACTACTATGCCTGCTGCAGTCTGTTGGTAAGTAACAGGGAACAACTCTGTCTCGGATAGTTCAGAAACGCTTAAATCACCATTGTTTAAAGCCTTTTGAAAAGCACCACGGATGATTCCGGGCCGGGAGACAGGCGGCAACGTGGCAGGAACAGGAGAGGCTGTTTGTTGTTTATCAGGATCCATAAAATTTGCAGGGGCAGAAGGAGGGTTAAAACCAGCTCCAGGGGGTAAGGGAGTGGCCAACATAACAGACGGATTTTTATACGGTGGAGGGTCTAATAAAGGCTGATGAGGCGAGTCAGCATGGGTTTGAATCAAGGTATAGGCAATTTTCCAAAGGCACAAAATCCCTGGGGGGGGGTCTTGGAGACTGATGGAGGACGGTACCAATTTTCCTCCATGTATCTACTTTTAAAGATCCAGACTCCGGAGAGGATGAGCAGTTAGCCCATACGTAAGCAAGCAATTTAATAGCCTCAGATTTAAAAAGGTGACGGGTTAATTTCTGTTCCTGATCAGTAAGATATTTTTTCCTGCCAAGTAGCCTCAGCTCTTCCACATGCTGCTTTTGAGCGTGAGACATTCCACCCCCCATACTTACGAAGAGGAGTCAGTTGCCAGCAACTTCATCGGGTGCACCAAGCCTATTCCAGGCGATAAGTAAAAGGTCAGCAGGGACGTATCCCTCAGTGGATCACGTCAGGGTCACCAGATGTGGTGGTCTCCCATGGAAAATGAGACACGCACGCAGGTATCTCGGGATGGGAGCCCAGAGCTGACTCCAACACCCTCTTTTATTGTTACTATAGTTTTTACATCACACAGCGTAAGCAAAAGATGTATATAGGGGTAGTTACAATGTATCAAATAATAGACACTCTCCATATGCAAGGCTATGCAGGTGTTCTTATCAGACTCTGTCCAAATGGTTAATCAATGTATCCTGTGTCTGGAGCAGTCCGTTTGTTATCTCAAGGACTTTGTGGGAGCATGCCCATGGACATATTTGTGCAATTAATCCCACAATGAACCATAGAGAATTTTGAAGAATGATTCTAGGCAGCTAGGCACTTTCAAGAAGGAACGTGACTATCTATCTATCTATCTATCTATCTATCTATCTCTCTCTCTCTCTCTCTCTCTCTCTCTCTGCAATTCCTGGGTGTTTTTTTTAAAAGTACCTGAAAGCAATTTAAGGCATGTAAACTAAACCCAAAACTAATATAAATTATTCTAATCCCAGTCCAGAAATCAGAATTACAGAGGCGCTAGAAGTTGGAAAAGAAGGATCTACAGGCTGTATGGAATTCAAGCTTAGAACCTTGTGACGTGCATAAAACAATTGGTTCAAATCATCAAGCCTTCAAGGTACATAGTAAAGATACTGTAGCACAGGATCCAAACCTAAAGTGGGGCAAAAAAGTATTTAGTCAGCCACCAATTGTGCAAGTTCTCCCACTTAAAAAGATGAGAGAAGCCTGTAATTGTCATCATACGTAGACCTCAACTATGAGAGACAAAATGAGAAAACATCCAATCACATTGTCTGATTTGGAAAGAATTTGCAAATTATGGTGGAAAATAAGTATTTGGTCAATATCAAAAGTTCATCTCAATACTTTGTTATATATCCTTTGTTGGCAATGACAGAGGTCAAATTTTTTTCTGTAAGTCTTCACAAGATTGGCACACACTGTTGCTGGTATGTTGGCCCATTCCTCCATGCAGATCTCCTCTGTGATGTTTTGGGGCTGTCGCTGGGAAACACGGACTTTCAACTCCCTCCAAAGGTTTTCTATGGGGTTGACATCTGGAGACTGGCTAGGCCACTCCAGGACCTTGAAATGCTTCTTACTAAGCCACTCCTTCGTTGCCCAGGCGGTGTGTTTGGGATCATTGTCATGCTGAAAGACCCAGCCATGTTTCATCTTCAATACCCTTGCTGATGGAAGGAGGTTTGCACTCAAAATCTCACGATACATGGCCCCATTCATTCTTTCCTGTACACAGTCGTCCTGGTCCCTTTGCAGAGAAACAGCCCCAAAGCATGATGTTGCCACCCCCATGCTTCACAGTAGGTATGGTGTTCTTTGGATGCAACTCAGCATTCTCTCTCCTCTAAACATGACGAGTTGTGTTTCTACCAAACAATTCTATTTTGGTTTCATCTGACCATAGGACATTCTCCCAATCCTCTTCTGGATCATCCAAATGCTCTCTAGCAAACTTCAGACGGGCCCAGACATGTACTGGCTTAAGCAGGGGCACACGTCTGGTACTGCAGGATCTGAGTCCCTGGAGGCGTAGTGTGTTACTGATGGTTGCCTTTGTTACGTTGGTCCCAGCTCTCTGCAGGTCATTCACTAGGTCCCCCTGTGTGGTTCTGGGATTTTTGCTCACCGTTCTTGTGATCATGTTGACCCCACAGGGTGAGATCTTACGTGGAGCCCCAGATCGAGGGAGATTATCAGTGGTCTTGTATGTCTTCCATTTTCTAATTATTGCTCCCACAGTTGATTTCTTCACACCAAGCTGCTTGCCTATTGCAGATTCAGTCTTCCCAGCCTGGTGCAGGTCTACAATTTTGTTTCTGGTGTCCTTTTACAGCTCTTTGGTCTTCACTATAGTGGAGTTTGGAGTGTGACTGTTTGAGGTTGTGGACAGGTGTCTTTTATACTGATAACAAGTTCAAACAGGTGCCATTAATATAGGTAATGAGTGGAGGACAGAAGAGCCTCTTAAAGAAGAAGTTATAGGTCTGTGAGAGCCAGAAATCTTGCTTGTTTGTAGGTGACCAAATACTTATTTTCCACCATAATTTGCAAATAAATTCTTTCAAAATCAGACAATGTGATTGTCTGGATTTGTTTTCTCATTTTGTCTCTCATAGTTGAAGTCTATGTATGACAATTACAGGCCTCTCTCATCTTTTTAAGTGGGAGAACTTGCACAATTGGTGGCTGACTAAATACTTTTTTGCCCCACTGTATGTATAAAATCAAAGCCATTACATTTGATCTCAGCAATACACACTATTCTGATGAGAATACAGAACTTCAAGGATCAGTAAAATGTATTGTATGAAACAGCCACCTGCTAAAGTTTTATCTCCTAGCTATAGCACAATATGCATTGGGTCTATTTTCCAAACTGAAGTAGACAGTTGTACTGAAGATATACTATAAAATATATAGAAATAAATGTGTTCTCCCCCCCCCCCCATGCAATCCTTTCTGTCCACCGGGGGAAGAATGAGAGCATACATTATAGAAAAGTGAGAGATACTTTATTGGAGACAGGAATTGGAAGTATACTGATGAAATTCTGATCATAAGTCTTAAATATATAAAATATTCTGCATTTAACAATAACTTTGTACTTGAAGCCAGAAGCCAATCACATAAAGCCTATGGGTCAGATTCAATTTTAGACTGGATTCAAATAACCCATGTTTTGTTTTAAATAGTTTGCTGAGACTATTTAAGCCTACCGAGGCTTCTCATAACAGCAAATCCAGTTCTATCATGTCTAGGTGAGAACCATTTGAAGTCAGAAAGACTAATGACAGCAAACTTAATTTGAGGTTGATTAAGAGTTGAGCCATTTTCATAGTCCCCTTTACATGCATGGTTTTTATGCTTATTGCTTATCTGTTTCCTCATCTGTTTTTGCAATTATAAAAAATGAAATAATTCATGCATATGTGCAGGACCAATTAGTGCAATTGCCCAAATATTTTCAGGAATCAAGCTTAAATGGCAGTCACACATAAAGCCTCTCTTTATATCTATGTTTTTTTTGTTTGTTTCTGCTTCTGAAATTATCTGAAATTCAATTTAAAGTGAAATTTCATGTCCTATAATCCCACTTAGCCACGTCCACCAAAGAACTGAAATTCAATCCATAGAGTTATGACAGATTCAGTAGTTTTGTCTGTTTTGATTATTTGCTCAATTTTAGAAGGACCCTCCCTCTACTTTTTATCTTCTCTAATATATGCCTAACTATTGAGGCATACATTGAAATTGAGAATGTATGAAGAATTAGGACTACTGCCACCATAAGGACATCCTTTTATTTTTTTTTTGAAATTTAGGCATAGACTTCAGTATCCATACAGTAAATAAGCTACTATTTCAGTCTATTTTCTATTTCCTGAAAGTGATTTTGTGGTTGTGAGTGTGGTGGGGCGGGGGAGGGAGAATCCGCTTTACCACTTTGCACAATAATTTTTACTAAGGATTTAACTCACAACAATCCACCCCTGTGACTACATGATCCTACACTCTATCTCAGTGTTTCCCAAACTTGACAATTTTAAGGCATGTGGACTTCAACTCCCAGCATTGCTGGCTGTGGAATTCTCGGAGTTGAAGTCCTCATGCCTTAAAATTGTCAAGTTTGGGAAACACTGCTCTATCTGATGAATGGTGCCATCAATATGTGGAAGATAAAGTTAAATACCACTGCAAGTAGCATCTTCAACATCCTAAGATGGTTGTTTCTAATCGTGCCCTTCTCTTGGTGAAATGTACTTTGATTCCTTTAGAGGTATTTCATTTAACACAAATCCATCTCAATAACTGTCTTGCCAGACATGAAAAATTATTGAGCGAAAATTAGAAAGCCTCATGCTTCAGACACAAAGACAGCCTGCTAGAGACATCTTGTATTTTTTTTTTTTAAAAAGAAAAATATTAAAGGATTTAAAAAAGCACAGGATTGCCACCATGCCTTCTAGCTTCATAAGTATGATTATGTGCCACTCAACTGGCAGGATTCTCACAGCTGCTTCCAGTACTGGCTTGTGCGAGGGATTCCGGCTACTATCTCAGACTCAATTCCACAGTGATCTTGCCCACGGAGGATTCGGAAGAGACCTAGAAAATATTGAGAGAAAAATCTTGCAAAAATTCTCAAGACTAAATAAAATGAAACAAATCCAGGCCAACCAGCTTGTCTGTATTTATTTTTTGTGTGTACATATATTCCTTGAGTGACAACAGTTCACTTAGCAATGGCTTTATGACCCATCCCCACAAAAAATACTTCGGTCCCGAAGTTACGTATGTTGCACCACCCCAGTGGTCGTTCTCCCTTATTACCGACCACAGAGATGTTGCAAATGGACCCTACCTATTCCCCCCCCCCCCATCCTTCTCCTCCACAGGCCCTGGCCCTGCTTTGTTAGTCCTCCAGATTACCCACCTCCCCACGCTGTTTCCAATCACTCATTTACCTTTTGAAGATCTCCAGAGTTCTAGAACAGGCTGACCCACATGGCAGAAAAGTAGCTGCTTTTTATTCAGGTGCTGGTGAAGCTCTAAGCGCGAGATCCAAGGAAAACAGCTTCCCCAGCATCTAAGTAAAAGATGGCTGCTTTTCTACCACGAGGCCAGTATGCCTGTAGACCTCATTTGGTTCCTGACTTGCAGTTGGCAGATTTCAGCCCAATGAGATAAATGAAACAAGTTCCACACTGATTGGCTGCCACTGCTGCCTTCACACCTCAATCCCCCAAACTATTCATTCAAACCAACCCCCAGCAGCAAGCAGAAGGCGCCCATGGCACTGCCCAGGCTGGCACCAAATGAGGCCTGTGGGGATGCTGGCCTCATGATAGAAAAGCATCTGTCTTTTACTCAGATGCTGGGGAAACTGTTTTCCTTGGATCTCACATTCTTACAGCTTCAGCCTCTGAGTAAAAGACAGACATTTTTCTGCCATGTGGATCAGCCTGTTCTGGCACTCTGGAGATCTTCGAAAGATGAGCAATTGGAAACAATGGGGAGGAGCAAGTGTAATCTGGGGAGCTAGCAAAGCAGGCCCAGTGCCTGTGGAGATCTGGCAGGGATGGGGGGGGGGGAGGAACAACCATGGGAACCCCAAGGGATTGTAAGCAGAGCATGAGATATCTCAGTGGGTAGAGGGAGGCCTTGAGTGATCAGAAGTAGGTGGCCTGTTCCAGCACTAGGCCCCTCCATGGTCTTCCCCACCCTTAGATACTTCATGTGCACTTAACGAACTGTGCATTCAATTAACAAATGCATTGGGGAAAACGGAGGAATCACATTCATTTAATGTGATCCTCGGGTTACTAATGTAATTGGCAGGCTCTATTATATTCATATTTCGAGGATTATTTGTACTGATATGCATAACAACATAATGGCTTAGGTCAAATGTTAACTGAAAAGGAGCATGTTAGATCTCCAGATGTTGCTCAGCCACAGCTCCTGGGAGTTCTACAACAAAGGCATCCCTGAAAGAGAATTGACCCACCAAAGGAAGAGAGATCACCTACCATTTTCACCCCAGTCTGTGTTCCAAGAATTAGCTATCAACCAGTAAGGTGTATCATTGTCGACGCCCCAGCCAAGAATTCGGATTGCATGGCCACCAACTGATTCACCAGAGACGTGCTGATAGACACCTGCAGGGGAAAAACTGTTACTCTATTCCCAAATATAAATGCTATGATTTCCCTGCTAAGATTTCCCTACTCAGTTAACATTCTGCTTGGAATTTAAACTTGTAAGAAACCATAGATATAAATGGCTTGCGAGAGCCTTTTGCTTTGAATTCCAACTTTCACATTTCAGACTCAGGCAACCTGTGAGGTGCAGCTCAAATATATATATTTCAAGTGCAGAATGGGCTGCTTCAAAATGGAGCCAATTTAATCTTGAAAAATTCAGGAATTGTTAATTCTGTTCAGAATTCAAAATAATTGGTTTTCATTTCATTCCATATTCCTAGCTTTTACACAGTGATAGGAATATCATGCACATGAGTCAAGAAGGTCATGCAGCTGCTAAGAAAGCAAATGCAACTTGGGGATGTACAGGTAATCCTCAACTTATGACCACAACTGAGCCCAAAATTGCTAAGTGAAACAGTTGTTAAGTGATTTTTGCCCCATTTTCCTACCTTTCTTGCCACAGTTGTTAAGTGAATCACTGTGGCTGTTAAATTAGTAACACAGCTGTTAAGTGAATCTGGCTTCCCCATTGACTTTACTTGTCAGAAGGTCACAAAAAGTGATCACATGACCCTGGGACACAGCAACCGTGAATTAGTTGCCAAGTGTATGAATTTTGATACATGACCATGGGAATGCTGCAATGGTCACAAGTGTGAAAAATAGTCATAAGCAGTGGTGTGATTCAGTCAGTTCGCACCAGTTCAGCAGAACCGGTAGCTAAATTTTGTTGAGTTCAGAGAACCGGCTGAATGCACACTCCTTCCAGAAGTCCATTCTAGGCTTCGGAAGCCTAGAGGAGGCCTCTCAGGCCAAGAAGGACCCGCTGGAAGTGCGTGGATGCTACTTCCAGAAGTCTGTTCTAGGCCTTGGAGGCCCAGGCCTGCATCCATGCAGAGAACCAGTTGTTCTGGTATTTGAATCTCACCACTGGTCATAAGTCATTTTTTCAATGCTGTTCTAACTTTGAACAGTCACTAAATGAACTGTTTTAAGTTGAGGACTACCTGTACTTTGCCTTGACCAGGCCCCACCTACAAAGTGACTTATGACTGGTCTTTGCACCTATGGCCAGTTGGAGCAACCCTGCAGTCACATGATCAAAATTCAGGCACTTTGAAACTGGCACGCATTTACAACAATTGCAGGTCTCACAGGATTGTCATTTGCAACCTTCCCCAGCTGGCTTCTGACAAGCAAAGTCAATGGGAAACCGGAATCATTTAAGATTTTCATGATTCACCTAACCGTGATGATTTGCTTAATAACCGCTGTGTAAATAGTCATAAAAGTTCCAGTCCCAATTATGGTTGTAAATTGAGGAATGTCTGTATTGTTCTTTATTGAAGGTCCTCAAACAAAATCTGAAGAGTCATCTGTCCAATAGTCCTAGCATAACGTGTTCCAAATTATTGGATTAATTAATCTCCCAGATTTCTTCCAACTCTAGAATGCTAGGAAGGAGAAAATGTGAATCCAAGAAACACCTACTAGAGATAAACCTAACAAATTCTGAGGAGGTGATCTAAGAAAACCTTAAGAAAGGTAAGCTGGGCTTCATTCATCAATGACACAATGTTGCTGATATTTCCACACACACATTGTGTTTTCCCAAATCCCACTCTGAATGCCAACTTCGGGAATACTTGAGATCTCAAGCTTTAAGCCTTGCAAACATAAGCTAAATTCAAGCAACTTTTTATACCCAAAACCTTCTGAATATCACATTTAATCAGAAGCGATGCCTGTCCTATCAGAAGATTAAACCAAAATGGTTGTAATTGAAATAAAGGAAATTACAACTGTACAAATTACAACTGTAATTCAAGAGTTTTAAAAAATGAAAATTGCTCTTTTTAAAAAATAGTCTACTTTAAGAAGTTACATAAAAAACACTTACCTGATTTGTACATGAGAAAATCAGAATAAACAGTAAAGGCTCCCTCCACTGGTCCGTTTTTATAAATCTCAGCCATTATTTCTTTCTCACTGCCAGGGACGCTATACGAAGTCATTCCTGGCCAGGGAAAGGGGAAAGTGATCTCTATATTAGAAAGCATTTGAATCGCTTACTTCAAACTTGATGAGTTTTCAAATCTGATGCTAATCGTCATTCAATGAATCAGAGAAGAACACGTTTAAAATAAACATCAATTTATAACAAGAATATAATCTGTCTGATTTAATTTAGTTAATTTTTTTTTATGTGAAGTGATATCTAAGTTGTCTGAAAGTCAACAGCCACTTAAGAAACCCTGGTTTACAAATTTTGGCAGTGCCGTATACGAATCCAGCCTGTACAGCACATTATACTTTTTATACTACAGCTGATTTTTGTAGCTTATTGATTTGTAGTTTAATTATTAAATTTATATACCACCCATCTCTGCTACACCATTCTAGAGTGGCAATAGGGAATCTTTAGCTTAATTATAAAATTTTAATTATAAACTGATACAGTCCTGAGCCATGGTTTCACAGCTTTCAGCCAAATCAATATCCACCAAAGCCTTGAGTACATCCCTGGACAGAGAGCTTCAAAAAGTTGCAGATTTGTAACAGTGTGAAAGAAGGGGAAATTACTAAGTACCTGGGGACGTACTTAAAATAAAAATGTACAAATAATTTTATTTTCTAAATATACACAAAAGTACAAATAATTTTACCCTTGCCTACTTATACTGTTGAAAGGCCAAATGCAACACTTGGCTTGAAAAGGGATCTACATTCTGACCGGAGACTTTACCCAGAATATCCATATGCAAGGCCATGTGCAAAGCTTTGCCTCTACTCCCCCCAATAGGAGCCACTTTGTTTCCTCTTATAAAAAATAATATGTGGCTACATATGTGACCAACCATAATAATAGCAATTCATACTGATCTTATTGTTTGCTATTTTTTTATTTATATTTCTAACCTTTTACTGCATCGGGAAGTCTATTGTATCTAAAACAGAATATTAAATTTTTTATCACTTAAACATTTTGAACTTAAAGCTTGCAGGTTTCTTATAAACCTGAATTTGCAGTTTAATATATGCATTACCATAATGTTTGTCATTGTGGTATGAAGGAGAGTAACCAGCTTCACATTTTTTGATGCATTCAGGGGTGTCACCACCTTCTCCAGTGCACGGAGGGCGAGTCCCATTGACGTGATGTTCACAGGGTGGAATAGAGTATGGCCTACATCCTATTGGATACAATACAGAATAAAACGCCATTTGAAAATAATCTTTTAAGGGACAGTTGGCTAAAGTCCCTATTCTAAGCTCAAATCAAAGTAAATCATGCTAAACTACAGAATTTCACTTATTCAAAAATATTTCATTCTGCAGTTCCCTGTTATGAACCAGTAATTTAGATAACGGCTCATCCTGCTTTTCCCTTGGGCGTTCCATTTATATCACCCATTTTATCCTCACAGTAACCTTTTGAGATCAAATATATTGCTAGAACTGGTGACCTGCCCAAAGTTACCTGTGAGTACCGTGACTGATTGGGAACTTGAACCAGGCTCTCTGCATTCACTCCAAAATCTGAACTAGCATGCAGGTAGGCCTCAATTAATGACTAACTGAGCCTGGCAACTACAGTTATAAGTCATGACAGTTGTAAGTAAGTCATGTGACTGACCCAATTTTATGACCTTTTTATGGCACCCATAAATTGAATATAATGGCTGTAAAGTGAACACATTGTTCGCCATGGCCTGGGTTTGCTGGAAACCAGAAGTAAATGCCAGTTTTTGACAGAACCGTTGTAAATAACAGTCACATGACCATGAGGTGCTGCAAACTGCTGTACATAGGGGCTGATTGTTGAATGCCCAAAATATGGTCATGTGAGGGAGAGAAGGAAATGTCAAGACTTCAAAATCTGGTCATAACTAGCTGTAGAGGGGTCCATTGTTACCATTCAATGCTGGTCACAGGCATTTTGCTCAGAAGAAAACTCACCAACATGTGAGTCGTAAAGGCCACCAGACACTAAGCCCTTTTCAGTCCAGTACCTCCAGGCTCCTGCAGGGTATCCTCCATTACAACTGCAAGAAAATGATGTATAACTATCACAAAAGAACTCTGGGAAATGGGTCCAAGTGGTCCTTTGAGTATTTAAGGTTGCTGACTCCTGCCTTAGGGGACATGCATTTTAACTGGGGGTAGTCTGAAAGGTTGAAGAGTCTTTGGAGTAATGTGATACCCAAAAAGGTACTTAACAGAGATAGGAAAGGCAACTTCTCCAAAATGTTGGCAACACACTGGAATTTAAAAACTGGCTTCCTTGAGGTGACACAGCAGACATGGCCCATTCATAAAATACACATTTACCATGAAGTAAATGGTGAGACTGCTCTCATCTCTAGTTGCCCCTCTTTTTTTCTACATCGATTTCTCCATACAGCAGGTACCTGCTTTTAAAATTTTCTATAGGGCCTGGAAGCATTCTGAAAATAAAAATAATGCTAAAAGCTAAAACTAGAAGGCAAAACAACTTTCTGCAATGTTTTTAATTAAACAATTTTTTTTAAAGGAAATAGGGAAGAAATTTGACAGGCACCAAGTAAAGTGTTTACTGCGATCCTCGGGCTCATGGTATCATGCAGCCTCAAAAGAAAAAAATATTCTTTCAAGTTGAGCTTGACGCCTGATTACTTTTTGTTGCCTACTATGAAGTAGAAAACAAACTGTATTGGGAATAGAATGATCTGAAAAATATTGTTGTTGTTAATTGCGAAGTCGTGTCCGACCCATCGTGACCCCATGGACAATGTTTCTCCAGGTCTTCCTGTCCTCTACCATCTTCTGGAGTCCATTTAAGTTCACACCTACTGCTTCAGTGACTCCATCCAGCCACCTCATTCTCTGTCGTCCCTTCTTCTATTGCCCTCAATCTTTTCCAGTGAGTCCTTCCTTCTCATTAGGTGGCCAAAGTATTTGAGTTTCAACTTCAGGATCTGGCCTTCTAAAGAGCAGTCAGGGTTGATCTCTTCTAGGACTGATCGGTTTGAACGCCTTGCCGTCCAAGGGACTCGCAGGAGTCTTCTCCAGCACCATAGTTCAAAGGCCTCAATTCTTTGTTGCTCAGCCTTTCTTATGGTCCAACTTTCACATCCATACATTGCAACTGGAAAAACCACGGCCTTCACTATACGCACTTTTGTTGGCAGGGTGTCTCTGCTTTTTAATATGCTGTCTAGATTTGCCATAGCTTTCCTCCCCAGGAGCAAGCGTCTTTTAATTTCTTGGCTGCAGTCCCCATCTGAGGTGATCTTGGAGCCCAGGAAAATAAAATCTGTCACTACCTCCCCTTTTAATCTCAGACCACATAGTTCCAGCCATTCTGGAGCAGTCTGAGGGCTTGCTAGAACTCAATCTTCCAGAACAAAGCCTTCTGATCTCAAGATATGTGGGTGTTCTCACTGAACTTTCCAGTGTCATTCCTGAACATATGAACAGAAAAAACAAGTGACAAGATAGGAAGTGACTTACCCCATCCCACATTCAAATCCGCAGCAAGAGAGCAGATCTTCAGCAGAAATTTCCACATTCACTTTGCCATTAGTATGGACACAAACACGATCCGACATGGCTTCAACTGCACCAAATGCCTACAAAAACAATCCAAAAGTTCAGTCAGTGGCACTCTTGAGACCTGTAGATTATCCTAATGCCCTGTCTGACCACCACCAAGCAAAATATATATATTAGTCTCTCTTTCTCACTGAAAGCTCTTCTGGACTTTCTTTGGGCACAAGTACACTGATGTTTCTTAATGGATAGGTGGTTCCAATACAAACTGAGTCATAGGGCTGTGTAAGAATTCACATATACACTGACTGTGTTAGGAAATGTTTCCCGTAACTGTAATTTAAGAGTATGCCACTACAACTGTGTTCACACCATGCATAAATAAGTGCCATGCATGAATTTAGCTAATATGCATTTTTTCAAGCATCAGATGCTTCTATTAAAGCTGGAGAACTGGATATGAACTACTAGATCTGTTGAATTCTGGCCTGTGGCAATTTCTTCTTGGATCAATTTCTAGACTTAGGAAAGGAACTTACCCAGCAGGAACCACAAGAGCCTTGGTCTCTGATTTCACTTATGGTTGGGCAGTTTGGCCACTGTTGCCTTGAGTCGAAGCTTTTTGGCAAGACCAAATCACCAGCAAATTCAAACCTTTCAAACAATATGGAAGAAGTTGGGTGAAAAAGAGACAGAATCATGCTCTAATTAATAACTAAGGTCTTTTTTAACCCAAATCCTTGGATTTTATCTTTTTATGTCAGACCTTCAATTTTGCTTCCAGCATGTTGACAAAATACTAGCATACATATGATTCAGAGTTGACACTGTATATAAAAGGGATTTATTTAATAACTTCAAAGTTTACTCCTCATGAATGTATTAGTAATATTTTGATCCGGAACTACATCTGTCCAGATTAATTCATTCCACTAAAAAGCAAGACTATCAACAAATCATTGTTGTAGATTTCAAGACAGCCACCCAAATTTTGAAAAGAATGGCTGTATATAAATGCCAACTTTTTTAATGTGAGGCATCCTGTTTCCTCGCTCTTTTATTTTTTAAAAATAAAAACATAGGAAGGCTGTCTAATATCAACTCACACTGCTGGATCAAATTTTTAAAGACAGTCTGGATAAGTCCCTGCACTTTTCTTGGCATTTCTCAGAAGTGATTTGTCATTGCCTCCTTTCTAGGGCTGAGAGTGACTGGCACAAGGTCATCCACTGGCTTTGTGCCTAAGGTGGGAGTAGAACTCAAAGTCTCCTAGTTTCTAGTGAGATGCTTTAACAACTACACCAACCTGGCCTTCATCTACCTTAATCTTTAAATATAAAAGTAATAATAACAGTTCAGAATTTCAGCAGTGGTGTTTCCCAGTCCCGTCAGGATATTAAACTAACACTTTCTCCATAAAAACAGTTGTTATATTGTTAAAATTAGACTTTTCTTTTATATCCAATAGCAACTTTAATACAGCTGTAACCAGGAAGCCATTCCTGAGAGTAGAAAGCAAGATAGCCATTATCTGAAGAGTCCAAAAGTTCAAGAACACATATGCAGCAGGATTAGAAATAGAGCACATATATATCCCACCTTTCTGGCAATTTGGGGCCATGCAAGAAAGTGCCACACAAAGTCTTCACGTAACTCATATCAGCATTGGCAAAGTTGTGTCCGGCCTTTAAAAAAAGTAAAAATAACAATAACACATATTATAATTTAGACCTTTCACCCCAACCACAATTACTGCTTACTAATTAAACACATAATTAAACACATTTGTACAAATGAACTCATGATCCCACAATCTGCACACTCACACTATTTCTTTATGGCAGGCAGAGATAAAATATATGTTTGATAAAATACTGTCTTCAGTAAATACTGCCTTTACTTGGATGAAAGACTAGATTCTCTCTTCCTGCCACTGCTAACAATTTACTTTTAAGGCAGAACAGGTTTTTTTAAATCCTGCCTTTATTATTTTTATAAATAACTCAGGGCAGTAAACATACTTAATACACCTTTCTCCTCCTACACCTTAATATATTCAGAGCCCTAGGCTCAGGTATATAGTCAAGTTTTTTAAAGCAGGCATATCCAACCTTGGCAGCTTTAAGACTTGTGGACATGGCTGCCTGGGGAATTTTAGGAGTTGAAGTATACAAATCTTAAAGTTGCCAAGGTTAGACACCCGTTTTAAAGCTTTATGAAAGGCCATCAAAGTTGGGGCCCTTGTAATCTCTGGGGGGAGAATATTCCACAGAGCAGGGGCTACTGTGAAAAGGCTCATCTTCTAGTTGTCTGTCAGCTGACACTTTGGGGGAGGGTGGAAATATAGTATTTGCCAGTTAACTGGCAGTTTAAAAATCTTGGTCAGTGTCCTCTACTGAAAGGCTATTGGTGGCCACAACAGAAACTGAATCTTATGACCAAGGCCAAGAGATAGTGTCCCAAGAAGATGACCACAGAATAGCCACTCAGCAAGCAGCATTTGTATTGTATCAGCTCAACTACGATCTTGCTTCTATGACTGTAGGACAGTGAGTCAATGTGGGGAAAGGAGAGTTAATAAAATATTTTATCACCCAGAAAGGAAAATGCCACAACTTATCTATTCAGGTCAACAAATTGTAAGATAAATCAATCCACTAATATTAAGTATGCCAAGCTATATCTCGGAAGACAGACAGCCACCACTTGCCACCACTCTGCATAGCTGGCCCCTATCCCAAAATTTACTCACCTTCCATGTGGTATTGAGCTTATTGATATAGTTCACTAAGTCAGGAGAGAGGGGAGGGAAGTAGGGCACATTACGGGCACTCGTGAAGACCGCTAACAGGCCCAGAATTACCACAGAGCACCACATTTTGATAATGGATGCTTAAGATGCTACCTGGAAGAGAAAGAGAGATTAGTAATTTACACAGTTGCAATGTTGACAAAATTAGTCCTATAAAGCGATTCAAATATGCAACATGAGTAAAGCAGACATGTTTTTTCCTGGGCTTCTGCAGATGCCTTTTACTACCAGCAGCTGGTTCTGAGGAAACAGGTATCTATCTGATTTAAGATATTCCTGACAGATGCTGCATGCACTCCAAATCCACTTCTGTCCAAGCACTGCCAGGCTTATATGAACAGGAAAATTGCCAAGCTGCCAGCACAGAATGAACAAATCTATATCTGTCTGTCTGTCTAACGTTATACACCACAAAAACACAAAAGATTGTGAACTCATGAAAGTGTCCAATTCCAAATCACTCTAGAGTTCATAATGAAAGATCTTCCTCTCCCACCCCATTTTCAAATGTCAGAGGATCAAACAGAAGGTCCAATGCTTTAAACCTTCATCCTAAAAGCTAGGTTGTGGAGGCCCTGCCCTTTCTTCCCCTGGTTCAGATTCAGTACAGAAATCTGGGCTGCCAGTAAGCTTAGAAAAACACTGTTGGTTATAACCCAATGGGAAAAACTTAACCAAGATAGAAATGCAATTTGCTTTATATTTAATTTATGTGCTGCCCATCTTACCAATGTATCAGCCTTACCACCTACCTGCCAGAAAATTAAGATTAATTAGTCATAAAAGTATATATTGCTACATTCACTCTAGATATGATTCGGGATGGGGGAGAAATTAGACCTATTCCCTTCCAGGGCCAAACCACAGCATCTGAAACAGAATTGTGCAACATATAGCACCAATTAGATGCTCTTTGGAAGTCAATGAGAATGTTTTTCATTCCTAAAAGCTAGAACATTCATGCTATGGCAATGCATCAAGAACTTACTGAATGTTGCATTCAGACTGTGAAACCAAACTTGACATTTTGAGGTCTACATGTTGCAGAAATCTGGTCAGTGTACTTTGTAAACTACGACTCATAGTTTTTCATGCCATGAGAGTACAGATATTTGTAGTCTTTTCAGTAAATAATGGTTATTTAGGTCATGTCTAAATATTGTTACTCCATCATTTAATACAAATGATGGAGCATTATATGAATAGTCCTCAACTTATGACCACAATTGAGCCCAAATTTATCTTACTAAGTGAGACATTTATTAAGTGAATTCTGCCCCATTTTATGATTTTTCTTGCCACAGTTGTTAAGTGAATCACTGCAGCTTTTAAGTCAGTAACATGGTTAAGTGAATTAGGCTTCCCCATTAACTTTGCTTGTCAGAAGATCACAAAAGGGGATCACATGACCTCCAGGACACTGCAACCATCATAAATATGAGTCACTTGCCAAGCGAGTGAATTTTGATCACGTGATCATGGGGATGTTGCAATGGTCATAAGTGTGAAAAATGTCATTTTTTTCAATGCTGTTGTAACTTTGAATGGTCACTAAAGGAAGTGTTGTAAGTCAAGAACTATCTTTAGTATCAGTGCATTATAAGTATTATATCAGTCTTCACTTGTACAATATATGATCCACGTTTTAGCTCTCTCTGAAGTAAGAAACCTGTTTTGGATGGTACAACAGAAAACAAATACAATCTTCTGGCTGATCTTAAAGTTATCTTAAACAACTCTATTCTGTCCAATGCAAAATCTTATTGCTGGGAGACAAATGTTCCCAACATTTTCCAGAATTATTTCTTTTGTAGAATTTCAAATAGCTGTACCAGCTGTTTGATTCAGAAACTTGTCATGAAACCTCCAATTCCAAATCACTCTAGAGTTCATAATGAAAGATCTTCCTCTCCCACCCCATTTTCAAATGTCAGAGGATCAAACAGAAGGTCCAATGCTTTAAACCTTCATCCTAAAAGCTAGGTTGTGGAGGCCCTGCCCTTTCTTCCCCTGGTTCAGATTCAGTACAGAAATCTGGGCTGCCAGTAAGCTTAGAAAAACACTGTTGGTTATAACCCAATGGGAAAAACTTAACCAAGATAGAAATGCAATTTGCTTTATATTTAATTTATGTGCTGCCCATCTTACCAATGTATCAGCCTTACCACCTACCTGCCAGAAAATTAAGATTAATTAGTCATAAAAGTATATATTGCTACATTCACTCTAGATATGATTCGGGATGGGGGAGAAATTAGACCTATTCCCTTCCAGGGCCAAACCACAGCATCTGAAACAGAATTGTGCAACATATAGCACCAATTAGATGCTCTTTGGAAGTCAATGAGAATGTTTTTCATTCCTAAAAGCTAGAACATTCATGCTATGGCAATGCATCAAGAACTTACTGAATGTTGCATTCAGACTGTGAAACCAAACTTGACATTTTGAGGTCTACATGTTGCAGAAATCTGGTCAGTGTACTTTGTAAACTACGACTCATAGTTTTTCATGCCATGAGAGTACAGATATTTGTAGTCTTTTCAGTAAATAATGGTTATTTAGGTCATGTCTAAATATTGTTACTCCATCATTTAATACAAATGATGGAGCATTATATGAATAGTCCTCAACTTATGACCACAATTGAGCCCAAATTTATCTTACTAAGTGAGACATTTATTAAGTGAATTCTGCCCCATTTTATGATTTTTCTTGCCACAGTTGTTAAGTGAATCACTGCAGCTTTTAAGTCAGTAACATGGTTAAGTGAATTAGGCTTCCCCATTAACTTTGCTTGTCAGAAGATCACAAAAGGGGATCACATGACCTCCAGGACACTGCAACCATCATAAATATGAGTCACTTGCCAAGCGAGTGAATTTTGATCACGTGATCATGGGGATGCTGCAATGGTCATAAGTGTGAAAAATGTCATTTTTTTCAATGCTGTTGTAACTTTGAATGGTCACTAAAGGAAGTGTTGTAAGTCAAGAACTATCTTTAGTATCAGTGCATTATAAGTATTATATCAGTCTTCACTTGTACAATATATGATCCACGTTTTAGCTCTCTCTGAAGTAAGAAACCTGTTTTGGATGGTACAACAGAAAACAAATACAATCTTCTGGCTGATCTTAAAGTTATCTTAAACAACTCTATTCTGTCCAATGCAAAATCTTATTGCTGGGAGACAAATGTTCCCAACATTTTCCTTTTATTTCTTTTGTAGAATTTCAAATAGCTGTACCAGCTGTTTGATTCAGAAACTTGTCATGAAACCTCTACCAAATTCCTGCATTTCAAGATATTGGGCAGCTGATATAAAAAAAACCAAACAATTCCCAAACCCTCCCAAAATAAAACCCTACCAACAGTTAATTAAACAAGTCATGGGTCACACACTGGAAAATGCTAGAATGCGGCTACAATTCTTACTTCCTTCACTCCTTTTTTGCCTGTTTCCATCTATTGTTTGCTATTGTTTGAATTCTTTCACGACAGATCCAACAGTTCATAACATGATAATGAAGTATGTGTTCAGTATTGAGAAAGTCCAGTTGCCTCCTGAAAAGCACTTTTTGGGACAACCATACTTGGATGACTAAGAATCTCCATAGACATTTTGTTATGTACTTTGGGATGAACATCCTTCAAATGGAGCGGAAGTATGAACAGATTTCCAGAAAACATTGCAGACTACTGGAACCATTTGCGCTTCAGTTTGAGAGGCAGACAACACAGACTCATCCCCAACAGCCTATACCTGTCTTCAACACCGAAGGGACACAGGGCAGAAAACATCCTGCAGTCAGGAAGCCTCCACAGACATTTGCCCTACTCAGGTGACCCTGAGGACACAGACAAACCTCCAAATGGTCTCAAGGACTCTAAAAGAATGCAAATGACCAGCTGTCTGCAAGGAATATAAATCCTTCCACTCCCCTCCATTCAGTCATAGCTGAAGAAGCTTCTTGGGTGAGAAGCAAAACATCTTCAAAGAAAACAAGTCCAGATGCCTCCTGAAAAGGACCTTTGTGATAACCATGACTTGGATGACTGAGAATCTCCATAGACATGTTGAGTGGGGAGGAAGCATGAAAGAAAACCAGATGCTATAGTAAGCATCTGTTGTTAGTTAAAAACAACAGCAGAAAATGGGCCTTCCAATTCTGCAAACTATTACACAATTACAGAAACTCACTATTAGCTATCTTACCCACTCATACCCTTGAGAGGGCTGGAATCTCATTACTAAAACCAAAGCAATAAGTCTTGCCTAGTTAAACTTGCATCTTAGGAAAATTCAAATCCCTATTCAACCACAAAACTATTTGCACAGCCAGTGCCCAAGGTCATCTATTTCATAAGATTCCAGTTCTCTATCTAGAGAAGGATCTCCATACATAAAACAGTGAGCTAACAAAATAAAAGATAGGATACAGATGTGACATGCAGTAATTTTACATGATAAACGTCCTTGGGATATGGAGAGGGGGAATATTCCTTGGATATTCATCTGACATGTCACAGAATTAGAAAAAGCATTTGGTTGCACAATCAATAGGATGGAGAGGGGAAGACAACAGATTGGTTTAGATAAACAGAAAGACAGAAAACTGGTTGCACCTCTTTCCTCTTTTAATATAAAATAGTGGTTGCCAACTTGGGAATTACTACCACTAAAAGATTTTGGAAATGTTTATGGTTACTGCTGATTTATTTCTAAAATTGTAGGGCTTGTTAATCTCACCCAGCAAGAGGCAATTTGGAGCCTGCTATTCATGCAAGGGTCATTTCTTCCTTGTCCATTGTATAACTTGAATAAAGTTTTTTAGATGCACAGAATGTTTCAACTCTTCAAAAACAGAACATACTGGAAGTTGCTTGGGTCAGAGGCCTCTACAACTTACATTTCTTTTGTCTTTCATGCATCAGAACTGGAATTCCAAGAACATGATTTCCTTTAACAAGAAAAACCTGTTCTTTACCTTGAGTGCGATTTCCAATAGCCTCACTTATCATGACCAGTTCTGGTCCTTATATACTAGCTGAAGATTCTAGGAGCCCCAATCCCAAAACATCTGGGGACAAGAAAGGCTGGTTGAATCCCATCCAGTTAACTTGAGCTCTAATCACTATATATTTCAGGGAAGTTTTGCCTTCATTGTAGGGAGTCCATATGCTTTAACGTTGCTAAGTTTGAGCAACACTGTATAGACAAACATTTTGATGTGTAGGGATCATAAACAACATTCTGTAAGTGGGTATGGGCAGGTTGATGATAAGCAAGTACTATCAGGATTTTCTGGTTTTTAAAAACTGGTTTTGGGGCAATTTAGGCTTTTTCCCCTTTTTTGTTCAATAAATTATGTTAAGTTAGGATATATTTCATACATTTTGTGTTTATCCTTCCTCAAAATGGGGAAAAATGCCACTTGTTCTAGCTCCATGCACCAGGTGTGGCATGCAATGTGTTCATCACGTTGTACGCTTACTTACCGAAAGATCCCTACTCTACTTCTAAACTCTAAAGTTCTCTAAAAGATTGATAATGAAGAGGTCATACAAATTAGAAACAAATTCATATCTACAGGACATGGATTCAGCAAAAGAAGTGGGAAAAAGAGTAAATTCTGGCATAATATTAATCGCTGGAACTCTTTGGACTAATTCTTGAGATCTCCCCATATTGCATGTTCAGTCCTGCATTCTAAGATTACTACTACTTCTGCAGACCGTAAGAAAGAAACCAATATTCACAACAAAGGCAGAACAGATACTGCAAGAAGGTTAACATGTTACAACATTAGAGGTGTTTTTTTTTTTTTAAAATGAGCTTGATTAGCAATCTAAAAAGTATTAAGTGCCTACATTCCCAAATAAACTCTGGCCTATTCTCCACAGTATATTTCTGTTTGAAAGAACATTTCCTTAGAGATGTATAAGTCAAGCCAGAATTCAACTCTTACAGTTCAAGTACTGAACATTCCTATTGGATTTTCTTACATTTTACTATACCTAAAACCACTGAAGTCAATTTTCCTTTATTTCCCCAGGCCATCTATAGTTGTATTCTAGCTTCCATAATGATAAAAAATGCAAGTCATTATTCATTTTAAAGCGATAACATGCTTGCATATATTAATAGGAGACTACTTCAACAAGGAACACTTGTTAAAATATCCAATCTCTTTCTGTTGTTGAGCCTCTTATTTCAGGGAAATTGCATTAGAGTTTGCTTACATGGCAAAGCACCAATTCTATCTCTAATTCAAGTCTCTGTAGAAAAGCAAAACACACACATTTCTTTCTGTTATTAGAGTCATGCTAAGGACTTTTCCTTACAGTACTTGCACCTAATCAAAGAACAAATGTTCCTGAGCAGCTTTTTTTCCCTGGTACATCCACATGGCATTGCCCAATCTGATCCCCAACTCACATTTCAAAGTTTAAGTTGCTCCAGTGTTGAGGAAATATTGCCCACTATTTCCCTAATAGTGTTTACACCTAATACAAATTGACACACTTCCCTGCTTTGTCAACAGCAGTCAGGTGATTCCTAGAAGGGGTGGTGGAATCAATCCAACTTCCATCTACTTAGGACAGGAGACCCCAACTCTTGTAAACCAGACTCACTCTCTGCACCAAATCTGAGTCAGAAATAAACTGAATAGTACCTGACCAGCACTCACCCTCTAGCTGCTCTAGGGTCCAGCTCCCCCCCCCCCATCTGAGCTGGTCAGCTGATGTATGGTTTCCATTGGCTAGTGGAGCTTGATGGGAGGGAAGGAGAGGGAAGCAAAGCCATGGGCAGGGCATCCATCTAGTTTTTTTTTTATGTGTTCTGCACACATAGTAAATAAGGGTGATCTCATTTGGCACCAATTCAGAAAAGGCAAGATAGGTATCAACAGTGAGGAAGCAAATTCTTTCCCCAGTATATTTTTCTGCAGTTTTAAGGATGCATGAAAGCTTCCCCAGAAAGGGGATCAACTCTTTCTGAAATGCCATGAAGAACTGCCATGCCATGCCACCTCCACTTCCCCTTCTGTACTTCTGCCCTCTGGTCCCCTTCTGACCACATTGGATAAATGAAGCATCTTACATCTTTTTTCGGCTAATGCAATTTAACCTACTTTACCAGCATATAAATTTCATTGGGGATTTCCTTATAAATAAGCTTGGCTAGGAGTGGATTACTGGTTTTGATTTCAGTTTTGAGTCCAACATAGCAATGAACTTGTTCCTCCTTCATTCCCCCATGGGACCCACACACACACACCAATCACTGTGCTGCTTTGGGGCTACAGGAGTTTTACTCCTATCCCATCTGAAGTGGCCAGGATGGGGGATGGTTATCCTGAACTGAAATCCCTTCATGAGTCCTCAATCCATATGGTTGAAATAATATGAATAGGGCAGAAAGGAAGGTACTTGAAAGCTTATACCCACAAACATAAACCCATAAGCCAAGCCCGATGAAGTGGAATCTGGAGCAAAACTATGCAAACCCACACACAGACACAAAAGCGGAGTCGGCTCCCTCTTTCGTCACAGCTAGCCAGGAGCAGGAAATCTTTTCGTAATTACTCTGTTCCTATTAAGCAGAAATCAAATAACTTCCTTTTCGAGCAAATTACCCAGAAAACGGCTCTATTCTTGCAAAGGCAGCTATTCGTTTTTAGCCGCGAGTGTCGTGAAAAAGAAGTCCTCCTCTTTAGCGGAGAAGGTCGTGAGAATAATAAGACAATTTTTAAAAGCCAGGGAAGAGCGACATGCGAACCCGGCCCATCCCTTGGCCCCCTTTGAAAATCAGCGGCGACAATGATTGGCTCTGGATAACAATGGGGCTCTATCCCCCCCCCCAAATTATCCAGGGGCACCAAACTTGGGAGGGGGGAGGAAAAGCCACCGTATCGGCCGCGCCTCCTCCTTCTCTCTTTCCTGTAAATGCGTGAAGAACCTTTGTTCCAGATTCTAAGTTTAACCTTGGATTACGGCTTCCCGTAACAATAAAACCCTTCCTTTCCTTTCCTTTCCTCTTTCCTTTCCTTTCCTTTCCTTACCTTCCAACACTGGAAGAGTCACCAAAGGCCTCAGCAGAGCCCGCTCTGCTCGCCTTATCTACGCTCCCCACCACCCCGAAAGCCGCGTCTCCACAGCCCTGCCCTCAGCAGCTCCTCCCCGCGCTGACTCACCCCACGTGGCTGCTCCGCTCCGGCAGCGACAGCCGCAACAGCAGCGCCTGATCCTGGGGCACGTGATTCCCTCCCCTGAATCACTTGATCCACCCCCTTCCTCCTCACCCCCTCGCGCCCTCCTTTAACCCGGCAAATCTGTTTTCGGGAGTTCGCCGGGGGTGGGATGAGATGGCGAATGGTGAACTTAAGTTAGACAATCGTGCTGCTTTCCACCTTGCCTGGTTGGACCAATGCAAATCTAGGGGTCAGAATCAGAGCTGGAAGGGACCTTGGAGATCGTTTAATCTAGCCGTCTGCTCAAGCAGGAGACCCTGTACCATTTCAGACAAGTGACTGTCCAGTCTCTTCTTAAAAACCTCCAGTGATGAAGCTCTCACAACGTCTGAAGGCAAGCTGTTCCACTGGTTATCAGGGTCCAGTCCCGTTGCCCTGGGCAGTGCGTCCCAATAAGCGCGGCTGAGATCGGGCGCAGGTTTACTCAGAAGCAAAGCTTTTCCTGCAGTTTCATGCTTCATGGTGTGCCGTTTGCAGTCCTCTCAACGTTTGCATGGGAATAAATGCTGCCATAGGATTTTTAGTGTCTCTTTTTTTAAAACAAGAGTGAGTCAATTTGCGATTTGGGGATTTTTGAAAAAAAAAAAACAAAACATTTTTGTTCCGATGCTTACCAAAACTTTCCGGTATTTGTGGATTTTTCCTTTAAGTGGCAAGCGAGAAATGTGTATGACCACCAGAAGTGCGATCTGATTTCTGCCAAATGTTGCCATGGTGTCAAAAATCGCAGCCACTTAAATGGAAAACCCGCAGACACTCGGTGTTTGTAAGCATCTGAACAAACGTTTTTCAAAAATCTCTTAATGAAAAGAAGGTAAGGAAAACCCCATATATGTGAGGCAGCCACATCTCTTCCATCCTATTGCTCTAACCCCTGCACTTCTTAACAACCCCCTTCCCCCCCAGACTGCTCCTATAAATATACATTGTTATACCTTTCTGCAAAAAATACATAAACTTTCTTGTTTGTTAAGCATCATGCTATATATTTTCCCTAGTAATAATTTGATTCCTGAATTTACCTGCTTTTGTCAAGGTGCAGTTCTAAGCAGATCAGTTTAGACATAATATCAGTTAAATTTAACAATCAGTAATATATAAAGGAGTATATTTGTAGTGCTGGGTTGAAATGAGGGGCCTTTGGTGCTCTCTGCCCTTGGTTGTTTTCTTGCAGACATTTCATTACCCAAACTAAGTTGGATAATGCAAGATCTGCAAGAAAACAACCAAGGGCAGAGAGCACCGAGGACCCCTCACAGTAATACATTCCCAGGTAAACATGAATGCGACTGCAGTTTAAGTTCCACAACAATCTTATAAAATTAAGCTATTAGACAATGGCTTTCTAAGGTAGTCCTGTCTGAATAGAGAATTGGATCCTAGATCTTTTGAGTCCTATTGGAGCGTTTCTAAATTCAGCTGTCCATTGCTTATTTTTGAATCCATAGTCCCTTCTTATTAAGACTAACCAAAATGTCAAAAAGAAAATAGAAAAGTCCCTAGCTGCTCAGAGCTTTCTTCACCAGTCTGGGTGTTTTCCATCCATAGCTTCTGTATTTGTATCACTGCTAAGTGAAGCTTTCATTGCACAGTTTCCTTGCCTGAGACATGAGATTTTTACAAGGACCTGAACAAAAGCTTCTATGGCAACCATGTTTTTCAGGAAGGAAAACCTGGGAAGGGCACAATATTTTGATAATATAAGGAGCAGTTTCCTATACTTTAGTCTTTTCTGCCTAATCAAGGTGAACCTGTAATTCTATTTAGGGCTAGAGCAAAGTTGCCCTGCCTGAAAGTCCAGGGGTCTCCTAAAGATGCCACCTGTTTAAAATTAAGATAGATGGAGGGAATTATTAAATGCAAAGGCAATAATTAAATAATTATTAAATTCATTTTAAATTACAACAGAACAACATTAGTTTCTAACCTAGGCCAGGGGTGTCAAACTTACAATGTCACGTGACGTGTTACGACGTATCACAACTTTTTTCCATTGCCGGCAATGGGATGGACGCGGTTTCGGCATGACGCATCTTGCCCACGGGCTGGCAGTTTGACACCCCTGACCTAGGCACAACCACTTTTATATCCTGGTTCTTCCTAGTTTTTGGAGTGTGGTCTCTTGCTTGCTTCTTAACAGATAAATGAAATGCTCTCAGATTATTACTTTAAAAAAAAAAAATAGCCATTGCTCCTTTGTCCAAAACCATAGGGGTAACCTGATGCCTACAAAAACCATGTACAAATTCATTCTGCCTACAGTGATGTGTCACGACATATCATGACTGTTTTCGCATTGCCGGAGCTGGGGTGGGCGTGGCCTCTGCATGATGCAACCGGCCTGCGGGCCGGCAGTTTGACACCCCTGCTCTATAGCTTTGAGGGAACTTCAAGCACTGCTTGTTCACTAGCCTGCTTGATGCATCCTATTGTGCCATTCAATACTTTGTCTACTTTTAGTTTACATAATGTGTGAATGACAAGGACACTATGGCTTTGTTCAATCAATGACTATTTTTGCTGTACAAAAGCTGTGTGTAAATATAGTATCTTTTTGATAATACTTTGGCTGGGCCTGAGGAAAAATACGACTGAATATTTTGTAATATTATCTCCCAGTCCATTGCCTGATGCCTCTTCTACTGTTAAGGTCCAGATTCAATCAACTCTGCCTTTGATTTGATTGGGAATTACTTTATTCTTTTTCAAATGCTATTGTGTTGTCTTGTTTCTTATCTTCTTATTTTCTTGTTATCTTATACTTTTAGAACATCAACCACCTTGTGAGGATGATACTCTAAAAGGCAGCATATCTTTTAAGCATATAAGCCAAAGGGCAGCATGACTCATAATCCCTGGCTTTGTTTATGATTCCCCAAAGGCTGAACCAACCAGAAATTTGCTATTGAGTTGTAATGTTTAATATGACTGAAAGAAAGGTATATTAAACACAGTTTAATGTGTTTAACTGGGAATAATTAGGTAAATAATATTTTGTTAAATTTAAATGAAATTAAATAAAAAATGTTCTGATTTTGCATAAATTTTATAATAAGGCCACCAGCATGCCCGTCAAAGTCCAGATGTAACCAGGGTCTTGAAGAAGTGCTTTTTTTAAAATGAAATTTTATGAACTCCTGAACTATGGCTAACAATTGTCCAATAAATAAGAATGTAAATTGGATCCTAAGTATCAAACAATGGTCTGTGATTTCACTGGATAAAATGAAGGAGATTTGTAGTTAGCCTGCAATAGGACTACAGGACCACTTTCATATCCTTACTCATATGAACTGAAACAGCCTAAGAAAAAATCATCCAAGCATGCATTTCCTCTTAATCAATTTCAACATCTGCAGAATTTTTGAAAGCAGAATAGAGATGACAAAACATTTACAAACATCTGTTCCTACCAGCTACTTCTGCGGAAACATGCTGGGTATAATTGGCTTCTAGATAAAGGATCAAGGGAGGATAGATCCCCTAGAGATCAATTAGATTATGTCTGTAAAGTAGAATTTGGATTTTAAAACACAGTAAAACTTTTGAACTCTCATGTCTTTTTAGTTAATTGTTCTGGCATCATGAGGAATGGCTGGTAGGTTGTTCGTGAACTAGTACGAAACAAATAAAGTTGTGTTTGCTAGTGCTTCTGTAAGAATTCGTTTTGCTTTCAAATTGCTTATGGATCACATGATTTCTTGACAAGGTCACTAATTTGGCAGAGGGTCCATGGCAGCCAAATCATGTTGGATGATGTTTTATTTACAGTCTGTAAACAGTGTCAGGTGCAGATCTATGCAGATGTTGAATGGGGAAAAAGTCATTAATGTGGAAAAAGCTTGGGCTGGTTGGTGGTTTTGCTCTGTATCTGATAACCTAATTTTAGACTGAGCAACTCTATTGTTGATGCTGGTTCCCTTTTTCAATAATAGAAAGAAGAACTGCATTATTAGGAGAATTCAATTTTACTTGATTAGATACAGAGAATAAGCTTGGCTTGTAATAGGGGGACTCTTCTTGCTGCCCTGGGCAGATGGGAGTTAATTTAATCCCTTAGAGTTTGGATTCGGATTTTGTGAAATCTCATGGTTGTGAATTGTCTTCTAGAATCTAGACCTAAAATGGATGATGATGATGTTCATTAATTAAGACTTTATAATAAAATATCCATTAGCTCACAGGATGCATGTGGCCCAGATTCTATTTTTTTAAGTTTTCAGAACTTTTTTAAAAAAATCGAGGCATATTTTTTCAATTTTTTTTAGCAAAAAAAGGAAATGACATCCAAACATATCTGATTTGCAAATACCTCCTTAGAACATCTTTGCAACTTTTAGATGTGTGTACTTTAACTCCCAGAAATCCTCAGTTAACATCTTAAAGTTGTCAAGTTGAAGAAACAGTGACCTAGAAACTCCACCAGTCCCACTCATTTGGCATGTCATTGCATGTGGCATATACACAATGGCCCACAAGATTCCCCCCAAATCCTGCCTTGTATCACTACAGATTGTCTACCCTAATGAGACCCTTATTATTCAGTCCCCACTAAATTATTGGTAACAGAAAAAGTCAGAGCTATTGTTAAAATTTATTTATACTTTGTTTAAACTGTACCAAGTTGTACAGTTTTGAACAATGTTTCAGAATATTACAAGTCAAAACAGCTACTGTAACACTACACAAGTATATTTGTCTTCTGAAGTAAGGCCCAACTGTTTTAGCTCTTGTATGATTTGTCTAAGTGGTCTATGTGCAACCAACCACTGCATCTTGAAAACCAGAGTAGTGTTAAGAATTATGTCAGACATTCTGGATTTTTTTAAAGGTTGCCTTCTGTCCACTTCCAATCTCTGGTGTACTTACTTTTTTTCTCCTTTTAAAAAATTTCCTAGGTTTCTTTTACTCTCCTGTAGAATCTTAGACTACAAATCTCACATAAA